AAAAAAAAAATCATGCCTCTATTTTTTAAAATTCAAATCCTGGGGGGCAAAGATTGAAAGAAAATAACTATATCTTGCCACTAAGTAACTGAAGACCATGGAGGAAATAGCTATATATTAACACTTGTACAATGCAGCTGTTTTACTCTCTTGCTGTCACCATGACAGAGTTTTCACAAATTTTTAGAATATTTTATAATTCCCAGCAATAACTATCAGAGAGAGTCAGCTTCCCCCCCCCCAAAGTTTCTAGTTAATCCTTTTATCAAGTAAACATATATCAAAAGGAAGACTTAGAGGCCAATCATGGAAAGTCACCTACAATTAGAATTGAAATTTAAAGAATTTGATAATATATGTAAGTCCAAAAAATAAAAAAGAATTTGGGATTAATGGTCACAGCAACTAAAAGCAAATTAGTATAGGATGGTGGAGTAGAAACTAGAAAGTTTTTCATGCCTCAAGTATCCTTTCAAAATTCTATTTCAAGTTTTGCTATAAATATAAAATAAAATTTTACAAATAAAAACATGCCATTTTGTGGCATAAGGACCACCATAACAATGAAGACCCCAAACTGACCAATTTTTACTTTTTGTAATAAACATGTCAAATAAGTGATTAAAAAAATTTTTTTAAATACCTCTTTCTTATCTCTAACAGTAGCATCAATTGATAGCTTTCTGCTATATATATTGAAGAATTTGTCCTTTTCGGCTAAGAAAATTTCCAGTAGTTTTTGATATTCTTGAGCTAAACGTAGATTTTCTTCCAGGGAATTATCTTGCAATTTCTAGAAGATAAAATTAAGACCATTTGTTTGTTTATTTTTTTTTCCATCTTTAGAATTACTTAAAAGTGTTCTAATATATAGTATAGAAAAGTAACAAAATAACCAAAAGATTGTTTCCCCTGACATCTATACCCATTTTCAACTTAATAATTTCCTTTCTCAATGCAGATTAATTTTTTAGCATTGATATATGATTTATCAGAGTTTGTCCACCTTTTGCTCCCTGGGCTTCCCTCCATCACTCCTCCCGGAAGGAGTATCTTGGGAGGGTCTTTTCAGAATCCCAGTAGTTGTTTTCCAATCTCCCAGCCCCTTTTCCTTTCCTCTGACCCTGTGCTCAAACCACTAGAAGACACTTTGCTTAGAATTTGACCCCTAAGAGGTTTAGAGTGCTGGTACTCATAAAAAAACATTCAAAACAGGAGGAAAGAATTAAAGCATAGGGAAGTCAACATTTAGAAGTACCCAGACCCA